GTAGAGAATGTCAAATTCCTAGTCAGAAGACACTGCGTGGTGAAGTTCTAACCCTTCAGAAATGGATTTTAATGGAAGTGTTGACACAGTGTTAGCTATACCATCACAAGTACAACGCCAATACATTATTCCCTTATGGTAACAGTGTTCAAGCTGCCCTGTAATTTGGCACAGAACATTTCTATACTAATGTAATGTGACAATGTTGTTATGTCTGCTATTTTCCATGCCATAATAGCAGTATTTGTTTCCACAAACATGCCATTACATTCACTAATATGGCTATATTTAAAGACTGCCCAAGTAAAAACAGATGTAAACTTATAGAAAGCAGATAATCTCTTAGAGATTTGTTTTGTTTTGCCAGAGTAATTTTCAACCCTACTCTTATAAAAATGCTGAATTCCCTGGGAGGATAGCTTTCACTACATAACCTGCTGTTAGAAATACGATGTTCATGATGTATTTTCTCTGAGGAGTTGCATGCAGCCATCCATTTGTAAGAACAGCCATTAACTGTCCTTTTAGTACAGTCTTCTATATAATCCCATTTTGTAGGAACAACTGCTACTGGTCTGCTTTACACTTACCAGTGTAACACTTCTGTCTATCACATCTAAAGAGCACTGTTGCCCTGAATCTCCAAGTGTCATATCACATCAAAAGAGAAAATGATAATCTGTATAGCATCTAGGGGTCAAAACTTCCCCTGCCTTGTTTATCTTCCAGCAAATAGGAAACTGCAGCACACAGAATGTTCCCACTTGTGCCACCATAGAGGCTTAGAGGCACTCCATACTCACAGTAGTGGAGTACTGAGATTTGCAACTAAGCAAAACTTTGGTGGATGTTGTGGGATGAACTGTGGGTGTGACTGACTACAGTCGTAAAACTGTAGCCTCACCCTTGGCTGGCCCAGGTAATTTTCTACAGAGAGTACATTTCCTAATCTTTTCCTTCTCTCTAGCCAACACACAGAGGACACTCCTGGACTGGGAAACAACCAACCTGCCTCACATGGTGCTTATTTTGAGAGAACTTTTAAAAAAATCTTCATTTTAAGCTGTGCACATTTTCACCTGGAATAATACACTGAACAGCACAGGAGTAATAATTTGCTGTTATAGGAAAGACTAAAGAAACTTCTTGCACGCTGTATTAGTAGAACATATTATAACACTTTTCAAGAAACTATTTCTCTCATTATTTCCTCCAAACTCTGTTTTGGAAATTAAAGACAAGAATGATACACGTGAAACCTGTACATTGCAAAGCCTACGAATGATGCGTGTCAAATCTTTGTGCACCGAGGTTACTATGGGAAACATGCTGAAAGTATCAACCCAAATGCAGGAAGGTAACTTGTGCACACTTACACAAACTGCAGGTGATACAAAACTGGGAGGAGTGGTTGATAGACCAGATGCGTGTGCTGCCATTCAGAGGAATGCTGACAAGCTGGAGAAGCGGGCTGGCAAGAACCTCGTAAAACAAAGGAAAATGCCAAATCCTGCACCTGGGGAGGAATAACCCCATGCACCAGTACAGGCTGTGGCCTGACCAGCTGGGAAGCAGCTTTGCAGAAAAGGATCTGGGCATCCTGATAGACACCACGTTGAACACGAGTCAGCAACGTGCTCTTGCGGTAAAGAAGGTTGACAGCCTCGTTGGCTGCATTAGGAAAAATGTCGCAGAAAGATTGAGAGGTGTGATCCTTCCCCTCTGCTCAGCACCGCTGAGATGCATCTGGAGCACTACCTCCTACTGCTGGGCTCCCCAGTGGAAGAGCAGGATGACCATACTGGGATAAGTCCAGCAAAGGGCCACAAAGGTGATTAAGGGCTTGAAGGATCTCTCACATGAAGAGAGGGACTGTTCAGCCTGGAGAAGTAAAGGCTCAGTGGGGATCCTACCAATGTTTTAAAGTACCTGATGGGTGGGAGTAAAGAAGACAGAGACAGATTCTTCTCAGTGGTGCCCAGTGACAGGACAAGGAGTAATAGGCACAAACTGAAATACATGAAATCTCATTTAAATATAAGGAAAATATTTGTACTGTGAGGGCTACTGAGCACTAGCACAGGTTGCCCAGAGAGGTTGTGGAGTCTCCATCCTTGGAGATACTCAAAACCCAACTGGACACAGACCTGGACAAGCTGTACCAACTGACTCTGCTCTGAGCAGAGGGGTTGGACTAGATGATATCCACAGGTCCCCTCTCACTTCAGCCATTTTGTCACTCTGAAATTTCTACTCAAATATATTCCCTGAGAACCGGTGGAACAAAATAACAGGGAGGTGCGGTGGGTTAATCCTGGCTGAGGGCCCACTCCCCCTGCTCTGACCTTGGCGTTCCCTCGGCTGTTTGACACTCTTTTTGTTCCCCCCTCCTTCATCTGTCCAGCATTTTGGTAAGAATGGCATACTTTCTAAGCATGTTTTCACAGATGTGCCCCCAGCTTGGCCGAGGGACTGAGCCGTGGCCAGTGGTGGTTCCGTAGGAGCTGGCCATGCCCGGCATGGGGCAGTCTTGGCCCGTCCTCACCAAGGCCACCCTGCAGCCCCCCGCTGCCAACATCTGGACATGGACATCCAATACAGTCTCCATAAACTGGCTACTTTTAACTGTTTCACTTATGACCGCTATGTCTACCTATGAGATTTGGATGTCCCGAATACTCCATTTTACATAAAACAGTACATTCAAATGTAAAGTAAGCCAAGGACCTGTCTGTGTAGCAATACTGGGTTGGATTTTGGGTTGGGTTCCGTCAACCAGCATTGCTCCCTCCATGTGTGATCTGCAACAGAAACCTGCTCGCACACACCGCTCAGGAGCATGCCTACGTCCTTCTGAAGGAGATGTGGTTTTCAGCAACAAGAGGGGCTATTCCAGACCTGTCCTGAGATAATCTTTCTTCATGTGAAGAGAATTTGTCTTACTTCAGTGCTGCAGAAGTTTAGCCTGTGGTGTGCAGCCTATGCAAGTTACTTAAAACTGTAGTAACATTTCACCGTTCCTCTTCCCATTATGCTCTTCCCAAACACAGCAGAGAACAGTCTAGGAGCATCTAGATGACACTGAGATTACAACATCATTTCTCCTCCTTTCCCTCACACATACCATTATGAAAAATCTCTCTCGTTAGATTTGCTTTGCAGATTTTTGGTATCTGAACTAAGCCGAGGAGCCAAGATAAAGCAGAAACCAAACATACTATATATACACCAGACTCTGTATTCTATTACAAAACATCCATATCTAGGATAAATTTATATTTCATGTTTGTGATAGAGGAACATTTAAAAAAAAATTATCTGGGAAAAAAAAAAAGTGGATTTGGCAGCCCTGTACTGAAGGTACTCCTTTACCATCATCAGAAATAATATATTGAGAATTATCTGATTGTGTGCAATGTAGTCCATAATGTTACCATACAAATGACCCTTCACAGATAAATATCTTTTTTACGTAAGTTCTTCAGTTCACCAAATTTATGCAAGACCTATCACTTGAAGAAATAATTCATAGAATATTCCAGGTCCAGACATCAGTTACTATAAGACAAATTTATAAACAGAGTTTTTCCTTTGTTAGATGTGGAATATATAACTTCTTATTCATAGTTTCAGTTACTTTTTGAAGAACTCAAAGATCACAGAAGAACAGAAATAACAACTTAAAAGTAAAATAGAAACAAATAATTTCCTCCTGTAGCAGACAGGGGGACTGAAATCTTTAAAAATAAATGTTCAGCAGTATGACTAATCACTCACATTGCTGGGAAGGGCAAATTCATATACATAAAGTAAACCCAAACCTGTGCTCAAATTATCAAAAGTTTTTTGATACCACATTTCATTTCTACCATGAGAGCAACTGCAGAGAAACAGACTGAGATGAGTCCCTTTCATAGTTTTCAAACATGGTCAAGAGTAGAAAAGTGGAACTTTCACGAGAATAATTAATGTAGCTTTTACACATAATTCATTTTCTAGCCTTGTGCTAGATACAATTTGAGCCAAAAGCTTTTCAGATTATAATTATCGTGTTATTTCAGGGTTTGTCCGAGAAGGTACACCTTGCTGTAGAGTGGGAACCAGAACAAGACATAAAAATCCAAAATGCTTGACGGTTATATCAACACTTTCTACCATCAGTCATTCATTCAGATAAATGTATACAAATAGAAATGAAAATGCTTAGCCTTACAGAAATTCCCTCTTCATATGGATATAAAAATGTGCAACATTTGGATATTTCAAATGCGATGAGTTAAAAAGAAAACTCAGTAGCTCGCTTTAATCAGCTACCGTGGATCATTATGGCTCTTGCATTACTATTCTACTTTCACTTCTGCATAATTCTATTTAGATCAATAAGGCTAGATTGGAATAAAACTAGATTATGACACTGGTGAATCAGGCCCCTTATTTTTGACACATTTAAGCTTTTCCTGAAAGACCAGATGGTTGGTGTATGTTATGTAGTTTTATTCAGATGAAATTTAAAAGAACTAAAATACTCAGCATGCTTTTATTATTGGCATGCTTAGTGTGTCACCTAAAGAAATCTACAAAGGGAGATAATGAGCCTTGTCAACTGTTTCACAGTAATTATAGCCCTCATGATATAATGCTACAAAATTACAATATAGCTTAAGATAATAAAATGTAAAAGGTTTTTTCAGTTGGGAAAAAAAACATTTGTAACATTTATGCAGGAAAGGGATTATTTCAAACAGGTAACCATCAGTATATTAGACATGCAATCAAGTGTAATAAAGCCAAATTCTGTCCGCGTTTGAAACTGCACATTGTCCAAAATTTATACTGTATATTTTAGCTATGTTCTTCCCACAAGCCTCACAGATTTTCACAGGGTTTGCCAGTTCATTTAAATATCTAATATGAAAATAACATAAAGCTTCAGACACTTGCTTCAAATATTGCCTTCAAGCTCTCAAGCATTCAGATCAGCATTTTTTTAGCGTACTTACGGTCATTGCATAATGGTCCACTAAAGGAGGTCATACTACAGTCACAACTGAATCCATCCCACTGCTGTAAGCACACTCCCTGGTTCGCACATGAATCCTCTTGGCACGTTGTGCTGGGGCCTGATGAGAACATACAAAAAAGGACTTGCACTTTGTCTTCCAAAGAAAGGTATTTCTCGCTGGATCACATTAACTAGCTGCCAACATCTCAAATCAAATGAGCAAAGAGTTACCAAGTCGAATGCACATAAACTTGCTGATTTTGAAGCAGCATGTAATATTAAAAGGGTGCTTTTGCTTTAGTTTTAAAGATTGAGGAGTCAAGCACACAAGAACGAACAAACTGAAGCAGAGTTATTCCAGGTCCAGTAGGAACGGTAACTTTGTCGCAAGTTATCTGTTAATGTCGTGTCAGACCATTAACTGGCTAAATGTTTTCTAAAAACTTTATTATTTTTTCCTGTAAATACATTTCAAACAGCAAAGCCAGATGCCACAGAAAGCAAAGCTCTGGGAGATGAAAGTAAGACTGGAAAATAAAATTCAAAACAAAATAAAAAAGAAATAATAAAATGAGACTACGCTATACGATGCTTTTAATCCCACAAATTATTTTAAATGATTTAGGTCTGAAATTAAGAGGAGTTTGGGATTCTTTGGCAGGAATGTTGGCAAGTACTGATTCACATGCTTCGGGGATCACATGCAGGTTCCTTTTTCATGGGGAAATGCAGAAAATCAGACTAATGAACTGGCATGCCAAAATGTGACATATGCATGAAAACAAAGCTACTCTATTGCTAAAGAATCATAACTAGACTACTAAAATATAAAGAAATTTGAAAAGGAATGATCAAAGCACTAAAGCAATCACTATACAAACATATTCAAGACTGAAAGCCTTTATGCAAGCTAGGCTGGAAAATGAAGTTTCATGTAGCCCATTGTTTTAGAGGTGTGAAAGACAAAATCTGAAACAAAATAACACACTTTAGTTCTGCAATGTACAGAGCGTTTATTGCAGAAATCCAACTGTGCATGGGGGGTTTCAGTCTTGTTTAATACACATAGGGCTATCTACCTTGCAAATCAGCTTTCATCAATGCAACTTTGTCAGCAAAATAAAAAAGCAAAATATATTAAATGTTAGTAAGCAATATTGAAATGGCAGCAAACACAGAAAAAAAACATTCAGAGTAAAGTGCATGCTGCTGTTAAAGAGAGAAAGAAATGCCATATAATGCAAACAAATTAATGCTAATAGCCATAAATCTTCAGGCAAGCCAAAATAAGAAAGCCGTAATTTGCCAGTATTTTACTACAAATATAATGGTTAATTGAGCTGATGACATGTAATGAAGGAAAATTAAAAGTTGGGTTTTTTTCTTCCTTGGATAGATATGAATGCATTAGCAGAGTAAATGCATGGCTGAATCCTGACTAGCCATTTGTCATGTTCAGATACACTGAATTCAAAAATAATTAGCACCGTCATCCTCTGTGGTCTTTCTTTTTTCTAGCCCTTTCTTCATGACTGGTGAATGAAGACCGAAATACAGACCGTGAACTACAGATTACTAGGAGCTCTCACACACATTTCACACTGACTCCTGATGCTACAAGGAAAAATTTGGTTCTGGGATTATAAAATGGTCCTAAATTGTTTTGGAGAAGACACATCAATATCCATTTGAAACTCCCAGTGTTAGCCTTCGATGACAGGGCAAAACTGGTCCAAAGATTATATAAATAGCCTAAATCATCCTGTGGAGAGAAATCCACTTAACCCTTCTTTCATATTCTGACTCCTTCAAACATCTCAGTGTGGGATTTTCTTTTGAGTTACCGGTATTTTAGAAAAATCCATATCAATATGATTTAAAGACAGTTCAATGGCCTCTTGCTTTAAATGAGACTGTGCTCGAGCACACCTCTGAACCAGGGTGATTGCAAATGAGGGCAGTGCACGCTGCTTCCCTGTTTGGGCAAAACTATTAACTGTCCTATTTTCTCCTGTTCAAATAATAATAATACCTATAACTGATTCACTGCAATAGGTAGACATAGGACAGTGATTTCCTTTTCTTTGGAGTTTTGAGCCCAGAAGTTTAAACATTTGGGCATTACATCACCCTCTCTTGAGCTGGGGATTATAATGACAGAATCCCGTAGCTGACAAGACAAGACACATTTTTTTCTCACCAGATTCTGCTACTCAGAAACTTTACAAAGATGAAGTGAAAATATCTGTAGGTGTTTAAATGTTATATATTCATGCATTTATTTACACTTTAGTTATGCAATGTTAAATTTCCTCATCTTTGCAAAAGTAGAGCAAAAGTCACAAGGACTTAAAAGTACATAAACTGCAGGACCCTGTAGGCACATTAAAAAGTGCATGTTAAAACACACATATTTGGAAAAAAATACAGTTATGATCTAGTTAAAAAGCAGGGTATTTTACTTTTTATGAAATAGATTCTTAGCGCTTTTGGCTTATCTATAGTAGTAATTATTCAAAAATCGCCATCAAGACTAGCTTACATGTAAGAAATTTTTATTAAAAGTAGGCTTTTTTTTTTTTAAAGAGCAGAGGAGGACTGTTTAATGTCAGTAAATACTATAATATCTACCATAACAGGTTCATATTTTCCTATATATATTACAGAACTAAGCTATTTAAAAAAAATACTGTAATACGCTCTTCTCAAGCACTCACATTTTGATTCACATTCAATTTAAATATTCTAATTTATTCAGTCTTCACTGCAGACTTTTTAATTGAGGGCTTACACGTTATATATCACACAAAAAGCATTATTAAGTAGCATGTTCAATGTTTTACTGCGTATTGCAAAAACAAATTCCATATTTCACCACCAAGAATCTTCACATATGTTAATACTTTGAAACTTTTCATATAGTACATTTAATATGCAAATCATAATATATATGCACGTGCATGCACACAGTGCATTTTCCTCCTAAATAGATTAAAACTATGTTTTTATCATTCTGTAATTTCTATAATTCTGCTTTATTCAAAATGTGTTAAGAAAGTACAATGGATTTGACTGGAGAAAAACAGGTTGGACACTTACAACCTGGCTCTGGGGTTTGCTGTTAACAATTTGAAGAGCTAATTAGCATATTTATGTTTCTAGCTGTTAGTAGTTTCTGTTCTAGCCATTGAAAATTTGTCAACAAGGTAGATTCAGCCAAGTGTAAATTATATTCAGTGCTCAATGATAGAGAACAGAGATACCTGTCTGCCTGTGGCTGAAACTTTGAAATGCAAGCCTTACAACTTGCCACACCAATCCCACGTGTGGGTTTGCAAAAAATGTTTCAAAGAACGAACTTTTAACATGCACTTATGACAGTAAAGTTATTGAGAAATATCACTACTTAAAGAACAAAATCCTAACAGAAAATTAACTGGTAGTACATCATGGCTTCACAGTTTGACAGAGGAGAGAAAAAGAGCTTTCACCCCAGTTTGGTTTTTTGTTTTTTGTGTGTTTTGGGGTTGTTTTTTTTTTTTAATACCAGAAAGGTGGGGAATTCAATCCCATAAGAGTCTGAAGAACACCAAATCCAGGTGCCTCACTTCTCCGGAAAGGTTTTGCAGCAGGCTGATGCCTTAACAAAGGGCATATATCCACCGGTACAGCCAGCTGTCTTTTGGATCAAGAGTGGCAGCAACTAGTACTTATTGTTTTGAAATTACTTCTGCTGCTGCGTCCTGAGCTCTTTGGACTCGCCATCTCGGGGGACTTACAGAGCTTACACATCCCCTTGCAGCATGAGATAGATGCGAAACTGCTCAGTTCCGTAAGGATGGAGACAGTCCCGTCTGCACACAGCAGCAGAGCTACGGGCAGCTTGAGGCATACAAGAGACTGCTAGGAGGCAACTAAACTTGCAAGTGACTTAAATCATATTTTAGGTGTGAGAATGTTTTTTTTTGTACATCTGATCCGTGATCTGCAGACAAGAGACTGACAGATGGGTCAGACAGGAAGACTTGAAGTAAACAGGTGAGACTAAAGAGTTAACTTGCAAGGGTTAAGCAGAAAAGTCAGAAGGGAATATTTCATTCCACGCTGTTAAAGATTTCCTTTTGCGGGCAAAAGACTTTTGATGAGGCAGTTCTCTGGGAGCCAGGCAGCACATCTGGTTTGACCATTTTGCTTGCGTCAGATGCTTTTGGTGTCAGAAAAAGCTGACTCTCCACCAAAAAGGACACTATTTGTATGGCCTTTATTAAATTGTTGGTAGCTTTACTAAATTCACTGATAGCTGAGTTGTGCCACTAGTTTAAAAGGTGAACGTGCAGTCTAGGCCTGTAGCAATATTTCTTTGAAGTACATAAAATTCATTTAGGAAATGACATAATTTCAAAAGAAGCTATGAAATGCATAATGGAATTAAGGCATACTTTGACTCTCTGAAGGGATGGTGCAGGCGTGGAACTTGCTAACTTCATTGAGAAAGCAGAATCTAATTTTCCAAACTCAGTGACAAACTAATTTATACATAGTTTTCCATTCCTGATAGAAATAAATAGACACTAAAGCTACAGAATAATAAGTTGTGAGTTTTACATATTTCTATGTGCTATCAATAGAATTTATACTGTTAACTACAGGTAGCGGGTAAAGAACAAGAAATTTCCACCTGTATGAGCATACTGTATGCAAAATAGGAGACAAAATTTATCCACCAGAAAGCTTTATCTCATGAAGCTTGCGGAAACCCCCCAGCTCAGCTTGGATTTTTTACAGTGTCTATTTGCAAACTTAACAAACTTGATATCAAAATCATCAAGTTTCCAACTTGAAATTCTACAGTGTCATTTACACATTTTTCTGTCCAGAGAAGAATGGCACTTGAGAGAGGGAAGAACACATAAAATTGAACATAGACACAAAATTCAGAATTATGTGAATAATATATATATGCAGGGACAGAGAATCGATTTAAGTTATTCCATAAATCATAGTAAAAATAACGTGGGATTAAATGACAGCTGGAAAAATAGCTCGAGATTGACACCCCTGAATTAGAAATACACCTCTTCTAATTCTGTCCTCACTTAAATTCCGTGATATTCCAGATGAGTCAATAAAGACATAAAAAATGTGAGATAAAACATATTTGGCTGTTACTGATTTCAGATAGGAAGGCTCATGACAATACAAATCTCAGGGGTGAGAAAAATAGAGAAGATGGAAGATTGATCTTAAACAGTTTCATAAATTAGCCTTGAATTAATCAACTCAATGTTTGCTTTAAAAATGGAATTAATTAGCTAATGTCTCAGCATTAGCTAATGCCTAAGTGAAGATATAAAGATATAAAGGACTTCATTGAAACTAATTGTTATTGTTTCTATCATTAATTAAAATACATCAGAAGTAAATGAAAAACATGCAAAATATCTTGCCACTGGAGAAGGATGGAACCTATATTAAACATTTAAGAAGTTAACTCATGTTCTCAGATCAATCTCTGTGCTGTAGGGCAGGCACACACTTGTCTCCATAATACTAAAAAAAAAATGCAGTCTTTATGTAAGAAAGGGTCAAACAAGATCAATTAGAAGCAGGTAAAATATAGTCTCTCCACATATGGAGTGTACATATCAACAAAACTGCAGGATTTGCACAATACTTTCACTATGCTATAAAAAAATCAGCACATTTAATACCTTCACATCCTCTTTCTATTTGCCCATTGCAGAAGAGAGCATCTGAGATAAGATCAGGGAGCCGTCCATTCAAGTCAACTGATGCAAGGCAGCCTTGGAATCCCTCTTTTGCATGCACCAGTTTTGGCAAGGACTTATACATTTCTTTGGCCACTCCTCCAATATACAAATCACCTGTTAAGGAAAAATAAATATTAGATACAGAAAAAACCCGTGTAGAATCTTTGACCTGTTTGATCGTCTGGCCTTTTTGTGCTGAATGACAGGTGTATCAGAAAAACATTCCTCAAAATAAATGTAGACGAAAGCACTGAGAGCATATATGATGTGAAAAGACATCGCAGGACTATATTTTTTCAAATGCATATGTAGACTTCACATCTGTATGACTAATTACTTCGAAGTAACTGGACATGTTATTTATGTGCCGGCTTACATAGACAGGAGAAATTTCACAGATGAGGATTCAGTCACAGAATCTCCATCTAGAAACACATCTAGCACTGATGCACGTTGTTAGCACACTCAGGGAACGTGACCACAGATCGTCTCGATTATGGATCCAGCACACTGACATTTATGGCAATAAGCGGAGCACCAAGATCCACTTGAAGGCCACACATCCAAAACAATCCATTTAAAAGCACTCCAAGAAATAAAGGGTTTAGGGACACATCTAAGGAGAAACTTAGGGATACCATTGTTAAGCGGTGAAATAACTGATTCTTCCCACCAAGATTCATACCCTGTGTCAGTCACGTGGGAACAGGGGGAAATTGATGCCTTAAAAATGGCAATCTGCACACTGAGCAAACACAATTTTATTGCCAAAAATAATTCTGACAACAGACACCTATTATAAACAGCTCCCTTTGACGAACCTCAGGCAACTTACTCGGGACTGAAAGCTAGTGCTTTGCCTCCTTTGAGTAATTCATAGCTCTGAGACTTACTTTGAAAGGACATAACTATAACTTTTCTCTTAAACAGCGAGGGGGAGACGCTTTTTTGTTTTAAAGCAATTCAGGCTGTGCCTTTCTTTCACGTGTTAGGTGTCTCTGGCAGGCAGAAGAGTGATCTTTCAAACCAACGCAACCTACCTCCCTAAAGTGTGCCTGAAGTGTCAGACTATAGGTTTAACTAGGTGCTTTCCGTACCTGCAGCCGAATATATGCTGCAGAAAAGAATCTGAGCTTTGCTTGTCCAGAGAGGGGAAGCATGCTCAGCGTGACCACAGCCCTAGCTAAAAGCCTTCAGTCCTTCTCCCGGCAGGCAAGATGTGCTTGATTCCTTCAGTCATAGACAGAAAGGAATAAAACTGTGGTTTCCTACATCTTGCATGAGTTTATTGTCCTGCTCTGTTATCCTCTAACTCAGAAAAAGCAGCTGGCTTTGCAAGCTAGGTGTGAGTGCTCTGAGCTTGCTCTACAGGGCACACGGCAAGAGGACCAACCGTCTGAGCTTCTGAGAAGCATTAAACCTGTTTGAAGGAAGGTGCTTATGGGAGCATCTGACTCTCAAGCATCGCCCAGGAACAAAATTCTTACTCTACCTACTCATTAAATCCTCACTGATGACGTGTTTTGCGCTAGCATACATTTTCAACAGACTATCTGAATGTACATCGTAATCTATGTTGTGCTTTCCAGTTTGTCTCCCAGCCTGGGTGATTCTGGAGCTTAGGCCACGGGATGTACCAAAGAGCGTTTCTGCATCACCTCAAATGCAAAATTGTTCATTTCCTAAGTGTCTACTGAGCTTTGTAGGCAGATTTAACAGCGACAGCACTCAGAATGTACTAGCTATCACCGCTACCCCATGTGGCTAATTTTAATCTCCCTCTTATCGGTATAAGCCTCAGTCACACCTTTTCCTGGTTCTCCTGGCATACTCGCCTGTTCACAAGGGAGCACAATTTAGTGCTGTTTGTAATGGTTTACAGTTTGCCTGCAAGGAAATGGCCCGAAACAAACAAACGTCTATCAGACTGTGAAAAATTTTGAGTCACTACATACCAGCCTTAAAACTCAACTGTATTTGAATTAGTGAAATAGAGATAAAAAGCTTAGGACCATGCATATTATTAATCTTATAAGCCATGGAACCAAAAGTCTTAGCAACCTTTATACCATCATATACTAAGAAACCTCAAGCTTTTTCCATTTTCCGTAAATAATTTGAAAAGTAAGGTATTGCTTTCCTCTAGAGCTTTGAGGTACAGTATAAATCTCAGAAGCATGATATTAGACATAACAGAATAAAATATGGTGATCCATATGTTCCCACAAATGGGCTGTAATTCATTCACAGCAGAAAAACTTCTATATTTTTCAATCAGCTGAACTAGAAACAAAGTAAAAACTCTTGCCTCATGATAAAGGTTCTTCATCTTTTTCTCAGGTGGAACATCTAGAAAGTGAAACCCTTCAAAAGTGAAGTTCTGTGCTTTCAGTGATTGTCAGCTCAGAATGAGAGGTAATTCATCTCAATTGATTCCAACAGACTGAAAAGAGGGAAACCTCCAGAGAACAATACCCAGAAAATGACTCCTATGCTAAAAAGGTTAAACTTGGTCTATTGTGCATGACACGTGCAACCTCTTTTTAAACCTCCCAACATGTATACTGTCCAAATAACCATTTTTATTCTGTAATTGGTTAAACCTTTAAACCAGCAAACTTTCGGATTGATCCCCTGCTAATTCCTAAGATCCATCCCTCAAACATATTGAGATTACTGTATACAGTCATATAGCAACGGTCAGTTATGATGAATGGCTAGTAGAAGCCCAGGTCAGTGTGCCAGCATATGAACCTGAACTCAGAATATTTGCTCCTGAAAACAAACTCTGGAATATTTTCAACTAGGTATCATATGCACAAAAGTACGATACATTAAGTTGAATCTAAATAAACTGCAACTCTAATTATAGTTCCTTAAGACTATTGATAATTAGAACGGATTATTATATGCTATTGAAGATATAGTTTCCACAAACAAAGACATGTTCTGGGTAGTATTTTAACTTTGTTGATGTTCAAAATAACTCGAGTTCTGCTTTGCGCTAGCTAACACATTACACTAATACATGTCGTATGTATTGAGCAGCCATACTGACTATGAGACTTCACCTTTTATAAAGTATATACAAGTATTTTTTATGACTATGGGCTAAACCTTTCCCAGATTTAATATCAAATATGGTTTGAGTTTGCTGCTGATGGCATAAACCCACACTTTCTCTCAGAGACAAAATTTTATTAACGGATAGGCTCTGGAATTAATACTCAGATTTTTAATTTTAAAAGTTATTTAATTTTTTTCACTTTTTTTTTTTATATCTGCCATCACAAATGTTTTACATAGCTACTTTTATTTCAGTTAATCACATGCTTCATTCTCACATTCTTCTCAGTGAAGTAGTTTCCTACAAAACTCAATCCATTAGAAATTCAGATGAGACAGAATTGCAGAAAACGTTGTTAATGAAAATATTTGTATATTGAAAGTCCATTAGCAGAGGTTCAGAAAAGATAAAAGCTTGTCCCTGTTCCCACTAAAAGAGATCAGAGAAATCAACACAGTATGATACAAATTCTCAGGTTTGCTCCTCTTTTTCACTTCTTATGTAAGTACAGCTTTACTACTGGAAATGTTACACGCTCTAAACCAGGATTAATCCCCTGCTATGTATCTGCCTACTTACCCTTATGAATTACAGGTAAGGTATTTCATTAACTGAGGTATCACAGTTCATCAGATCAATACTATGAGATCATGACACTATCTAAACTAGCTGCAGCCTAAATGCAATGCTATCACAACACTGCTACCACTGAAAATGTGTGACCATTTCAGGAGTTCTGCGCTATGGAAAATGCAATTCTTCTACTTCTTCCTTTCAACAGATGTGCATTTTTTAAGTACATATAGAAAAGGATATACTTGTATTACAGTGCTAAGCATAGTTTCTGGAACTAAAGTTTAGCTATTACCTGTCATGCATGTACTTTCTTCTGGAGTTTATTTTGATTTTTAAATGTGTTCCTGAAAAAGTCTCTGGGTTTTTTTTCATAACTATCCTGACTACTTAATTTACAGAAGAAAATAACCAAATTATATAAAATATATCAACTGGCATAAACAAAGGAGCAGGTAATACAGAAATATGTGAGGGAATAGAGTGCTCCAAGATTTTGATTTGATCTCTGAAGAAACTTCAAATAAAGCACTTTATTTGAGAGCACACAGTACTTAATCTCACAACTCTCTTCTTACTTATATTAAGAGTCAGTACACAGAGTTATCCCCTTTTATTTAGAGAGGGAGGATTTTTTCCTCTCTTCATTTTTCTAAGGCCAAAAAAAATAAGTATTCTACAGTGTTTCTCACTGGCATGTTCATTGTAGGCCAGAGGAATCAACTGGGAGGCAGCACTTTTAGAGCTATGCCTATAAATGACGGCAATAATAGTACTGGTCAGTTATATCCTAAGCACTGACAAAGAGTTGAGTTTAGTGGGTTTGATTTATGTCTTTTACAGGTAATGCAGATCTTCATTTATTCCAACAGGAGCTTTCCTATTTACACCTGTGTATCTCTTCTCTGACTTACAGCTAATTTGTGCTTTGAGGAACAAGTGAATTTAACACAGAAACAAACTGCTAGCTAATAAATGAACCCAAGTTCTCAATGTATTAATTACTGGAATCACACTTATGAAAAAATGCACAAACGCCACACAACAGTGAGTCACACACAACTGTTGGTGAAACAAATACTGCCAAATCCTTCTGTAATAACTCATCCTTTTTTTTATCCCAAGTCTCTATATTTCTTCAAAATAAGAACTTTTCAAATGCTAAACCAAAGAAATGTAAAATAAAAATTGAAGATGATGTTCTATTTATTTCTTTTCTGAATAAGTAGCAGAAGTATCTTATTATTTGGCACTACTGACATGGTTGGGAGGTCACCTCATAGACTTTCCTCCTTTCCTAATTCATGTTGACACCCAAGAATTCTTATGTGATACGTGCTGGTGGAAAAAAACTATTCACTTAATTTAATGACTACCATTGTTTTCAGGCACTAGTAGAGAGGAAATTATTATCCATGTGTTTATAATGGTAACAGCAACATGTAAATACTGCTCAGGGAACAAGTAGTTTAAC